ATCTTAGAAGAGTCCTACAAAATAAGAAAATCAGTTATCATTATATTACAATTGCTCATAGAATTTCGACTGAGAGATGATTTCTTTTCCTCATTTAACTTGAATACAATCTTCCTTTCCAAGTAAACATCAAATACGCAATCTCACAAGACTCATTACCATATTTGAGTTGCAAAACTTAACAATCTCTACCTTAACTCAAATTCCAGTGCAACGAGTGGAGCTCTACAAAATTTCTCCACCTGATAAATAAACTCATTTGCATCGAAATGAGATGGTCAATTTCCTTAATGCAATAACCAAAACTCTACATAAACAATCGTTCTCCACACGATGTCCACAAGCGACACCAGAACCCTACTCCAGGGTTGCCAAAATTTCACAAAGGAATTAATGTTTATCGAACAGGGTCCAAGCATACCCTGTAGCAGAAACCATACAAAATTACTTAACAGAAGATCCCTTGCTAGAACTGTTGCCTTCAATGTCCCCAAAAACATTATAGACATCACTAACACCACGGTACCTACGCTCAATGGATCTAACCCTAGCAATTGAACACATTATAACCCCTGAAATTTGTGAAAAAGCAGAATCACCAACGCTCCCTTGAGCAATGTTCTGAACTGACTTAGAGTCTGTCACAAGAGGTACTGTACCAAACCAAATATCCACCATGGTACTGAATTTGTCTAGATATCTCTTAACTGATTCTATGCTCCCCTGCAAGATGTACAACTAAGAATTTCTTCGTTTCTCTAATATAACCCGGACACCCTTTTGGACCTTTAAGATTCTACATCCACCAAAGAATTTATGCCATTTGCATCCAGAGTACTAAGCAAGATGAGATTCATTTTCAGGTCTGGAATATGTCGAACCTGATCAATTGTTCTAACTGTCTCATCCCACAGTCTAAATCTGACTCAATCGATCCCAACAATACGACAAGACTGGTTGTTTTTATTACAACTTCACCTTGCTGAACAGTCTCATATGTCTAAAAGAAATTTCGATTGGAATATATATGATGTGAACATGCCAAATCGAGAATCTACTCCTCGTTAGGCCTATATTTCATGTCAGATACCACGGTCAATATCATATCTCCGCCGTCTGAAAAATCCTCAACTACATTTGTTTCATCTGAAGTCAAAGGTTGCATTCTACGATTTACAACTAAATCACCCTTAACCTGTACCTTATCGCAATCTTTCTGAATATGTCCCTTACGTATGCATTAGAAGGAAAACAAATTGTAGTTATTCTTTGATCTACCCATCCATTGACCACCATGAGATTCAAGAGCTTCCTCATCCCTTGATGTAGTTCCAACCAAATGTTTTAACTTCTCCTTTGAGTGCAAAGCATCATGACGTTGTCTATAGTCAAAGTAACTTGACTATACAAAATAGTGTTTCGAAACGACGCATAAGAAGCAGATAGTGAACACAACAGAATCAAGGGCAAATCCTCTTCATCGTATTTAACCTCCAACGTCTCCAAATTCACGACAATTTCCTTGGACACGGTATTATGGTCTTTTAACGACTCTCCTTCCTTCATACGATGGAAATAAAATTTTTGCTTTAGAGCTAGTTTGCTCGTGAAACTTTCAGTTATGCATAACTGCTCCAGTTTTAACCACAAAGAAATCGCCGTCTTTTCCTTCAAGACATTCTGTAGAATATTGTTGTATAAATGAAGGTAGATCTGCAATAGAGCCTTCCTATCCTTGCGTTGTCCAATCAGCTGGCATATTTTCAAAACCCAGCAAAGTATCGTCCAAATCTAATTATGTCAAAATAACCCTCATCTTTATTTACCACAAATAAAATCTTATATTACGATCTAACAGCGAAATGTCATATTTCATGGTAGCCATCTCTGAAAAAATCTCAACCAATCAACAAAAGAAGAACCAAGCTCTGATACCACTTGTTAGACCAGAGAGATTGCAATAAATGAGATTAATGATACAATATGTAGTAATAAAGATCACAACAAAAAACAAGATGAAAAAGTAAAGAAAAACAAACAGAGTTAATCACAGAGGAATTATGCATATTAACTGACAATATATAGAGAAATTACAGACACAACAATAATGCTTAAACAAATTTGAAAGATGAAGCATGTATTTATAGGTCATGTTCCAAATCTTAGAAGAGTCCTAAAAGGTAAGAAAATCTATTAAAATTAGGTTATAGTTGCGCATAAAGCTTCGACCAAGAGAGGATTTCCTTTCCTTATTCAACGTCGATACAATCTTCATTTCCAAGTAAAAATCAAATACGCAATCTCACAAGACTATTAACAATATTTGAGTCACAAATCCTAACATATGGATTGAGTAAGAAATCTATTTTAAATAAGGGGAGATAAGCAACATAGAAGGATTATAAAATTTCCAATATTACAAACTGAATTTGTACTTAATTAAATATACCAAAATGAATTTATCTTCAGACTTTGACCAACGCTATAAGAGCAAGTAATGTACTTTCACGTGATTTCAACTTACAAAAACATATAGAAAACGGACCATAGTAGATTGTAGACAGCAAGCTTCTTACTCATAAATATTGCGCCCTGGATGAAAGAAGCAATTCAACTTTACAAACACAATGGAATTGTTTTTGAAATTTTCAGTTCCCTCAAAAAATGATAATCTTTTAGATGTTGAATTTGATTGAATCGTTACTTCAAATTAGGAGAAGTAGGTGTAGAATTTCAATATTTTAAACGGATTTTTTTCTTCCTTCTTGCCCTTGGGCTTCTCCATGGTGATGTCGGTCTGATAGAATTGATTATTCGAATTCAAAAATTTAAAGTTTCACTCTCTCTTTCAATCTTTCTATAACCCTAGGAAAAAACATGATTTTTCTTGAAATATTTGATGGGTTTTGACATGTTTGTTTTGGGCCAATTTCCTTTTATGAGGCCCTACAAAATCTTGAGGCCTTAGGCAACTGTCAGATTTTCCTTTGGTCGAGATAGGCCTGAGAATATATAATATGTTTATGTAAGGAGAACACAAAATGATAATGAATTGACGGAATTGTAATTTTAGTAATTATACTCAAAAGATGCAAGTGGGATTATGAATAAACTTCATCTAGAAATGTTCAAGAATCTTACTATTATTTTAAGGAACA